ATTCATTTTTCAATTGTTTTTGGGTGAGTTTTACATGACATGCACACTTCCTCAAGCTTTGTTGTCAACTTCTCCCCAAGTTTCTTTGCGAAGACTATCTCTGTTTCGACCCACTTTATTGACCTATTTTTGTACAAGTCTCTAAAATCATTTGGTAATTTCATTTGTCTATCTTATATGCAGATTCTCATCCATTAGTAATTAGCACACAAGAAAGAATCATATCCATGAGAAAACTACTCCATATCCAACCATTTAAACCAAATTAAAATACATGCATTCATGTAAACATCAAAATCAAATTCTAGCAGACAGGTAGTTCATATATATATACACCCCAAATTATATAACCGAAACTCGGTTATCACAATATATATATATATATATATATATGTGTGTATATACACACACACATATATATACTGTGATAACCGAGTTTCGGTTATGTAATTTAGGGTGGTTTGAAAGAATTTGGTAAGTAATTCTTTAAAATGTGTTATGTGATTATTTTAATCATCCAGGATGCATATGCATATGCATGTATATGGATATTTGAGTGAAAGGGGGGTTAAATATATTAAAACCGTCACCGTCACCGTCACCGTCGAATGCCCTAGAATATATTTTACCGTCACCGTCACCGTCACCGTCACCATCGAATGCCCTATAATATATTTCACCATCACCGTCACCGTCACCATCGAATGCCCTAGAATATATTTCACCATCTCCGTCACCGTCACCGACGAATACCCTAGAATATATTTTTTATTACATTTGATGATTTATACTTACTTTTTGAACTATTAAAATAAAAAACCCTCCAAATAGGTTACAATATAATACATATTTTAGGTAAAGGCTGCATTTCCAAAATGAATATGAAATACATAGTTTATGGGTTTTAAAAGAAAAGGAAGATGGGGAAGTTAGTTGTCCAAGTTGGGGGACAAGAAAGGAGATGTAGGCAACGCAAGAAGGGACCACTAGCCACCAACCATTCAAAACTCTGGTTTTTATTTTATATACATATAGAGATGAATGATCAAATACAAACCACTTATATTTGTGAGTAAATAAAAGATAAGTATCACTTGTCGATGTGAAAAATCTCTAAATCAGGTAAAAATTGCAGGGGACCTCGGGTAACCGCTCCACTAGTCATGCAAAGAGGTCAATTATGAAGTATTCCCGCTTGTCGATACATCGAAGTATATCATAAAATAAAATTGAAGGAATGAATTGCTAGGTCTCTGCTGAAAGGTGTTGGTCATGCCCTCTTATGGGTGTCCTCGCCATCACTTTTTATCTCACCACCGATGGTCCTCAGGAGGTTTGTTGGCTAACTCCAAATTCTTGGGACCGGACCTGGTCAAGAAGCTTCCGCAAGGACTGTCCTTCCTCGTCTAGGTCACAATCCCTTTCTTGGGCTCCAAGTCATTGAAATTGGTAGTTGGCTACATTTGAAATAGTCGGGTATATTGCTTCTAATCATTCATCCCTGCTTATTATGAAATATAAACTAATTTCTATATATTTATTCACAACTTTACAGTAGACTGGAAATTAGAAGTTGTAAAAAACATATTAAAAAGGGAAAATTACATTAAAATAAAACCAACTTTTATCTAGTTCTTATTTTTGAGAATCAACTTTTAAAAATGTCGTTTTATGGTCTAAATCAAACTTTACATTTATTTACGGATCTGGTTTACCTAATAATATGCTAATAATTAGGGATGGTAATAGGGCGGGGACCCCAATCCCCGTCCCCGTCCCCGATCTTTGTCCCTGTCCCCGTCCCCATCCCCACCGGGAAATTTGATCACATCCCCATCCCCGTCCCCAATGGGGAACGGGGATCCCCAACGGGGAAACGATGATTTTTTTCATGTTTGTGTAAAAAAAAATTAAATCAAATGTGTGAGACGTTACACATGTTTAAATCTCACATTTAAATCAAACGGGAATCCCTGTCCCCGAGACCCGGTTTAACGGGAAATCCCCATCCCCAATCGGGACAGTTAGACCGGGTTCTCCGACGAGTCGGGACCAATTCCATGCCTACTAATAATGAAGTGGTTATGGTTAATATCAATTCACATACCATATCATATTTAAAATTTTAATAATAAATCTAATATAAAGATGGACGTCAAATAATTATAAAATGACACATAACTTGACTACTAAAATTTATTGTCATTTTATAAATAAGAAAATAATTAAAATATTAATTAATTTAATCTAAAAAATTATTTATTTGTCCTTTCTCACATATTTTTAATTGCACAGAAATATTTTTTCACTCAAAGAAAAATCTTTTTAATATATAATTTTTATAGACTGGCATGATATAAACAACACAGGCATGATATACTTTTAATAATAACTAAGAGGACGTTTACTAAACACTTATCCGGTAAGTGTTGATAGGGTAATTTTTCTCATTTGATGCACATGGCAAGACCCAAAAATTTTACCCGGTACGAGCGATGATAAGGATAAAGAGTCTTACCTGTAAGTGATAGCGAGGACTCTTACATGCTTACATGAGTAAGCGTTGTAAATTGTTGCATACAATAACGTTTTAAAATACTACAATCTTACATGGTAAAATAGATTATAATGTTAACTTCTATCGGTAAGCGCTTACCAGGTAAACATTTGGGTAAATGGCACCTAAGTATCCATTTGGTTTTCAAGATTGTTTTTAAGGGATTTAGATTGGAATGAAATTTAAAATCATTGTTGTGTTTGGTTTGTTGGATTTGGAATGAAATTGGATTTCATTATCTACAAATAATTTATAAAAATAAAAAATTATAAAAATAATTGAATTACATTTTTATTAATCGATTATTACAAAACAAATGGTTTTAACATATTTTAAAATCTTATTGCATACAATCCTATGAAATCCCGAGCACCCCCTAAGGATTTCAAAATCCTATGTTTGTAGGATTTCAAATAAATCTTAAAATTTCAATCCGGACAATCTAACAAACCAAACAAATGATTGGAATGGATTTGAAATTCAAATCCCCTCAAATTCATTTCATTCCTGCAAGCCAAACGAGACTTAAATAAAACGAATAAAACGTCCAACCTCCTTAAATAAAAAACACTGCCCCTTACTTAACCTCCACCCTCTCGACACCTTCAAATCTGGTGACTTTGCAAGTTATCCATACACCTCTATTGTCCCCTCCGTGCTTAACAATATTGGCATGGTGTTTAGTGGTGGGTTGGGGTATGGGGTGTGGGTGAGTGGCAATTGTGAAGGCGACAATAGTGGTGTGGGGGCGGAGGGTTTAGGGCCGGGCGAGGGGTTTGGGGCAGTAGGGATGGATGACAGTTGTGACGACGACAATGGTAGGATGGTGGTCGAGTGGTTGAGAGTGGGTATGACGGCGACAACAGTAGCATGGTGGTTAGTGGTAAGGTTGAGGTAGGGTGAGTGGCAGTTGTGACAGCGACAATAATGGTGTGATGGTGCGGGTTAGGTTAGGGGAGTGACAGTAACGTAGTAGCATGGTCGTAGTAGGGATGTGCAGTGAGTGAGCGGGGGGTGGGTGTGTCTGATGACAACAGTAGTGGCATGATGGTTAGTGATGTGGTAGGGTGGGTAGGTGTGATGGGTTGGTGGCGAAGGTAATAGTGATGTGGTGGTGGGAGGGTTAAGGGTGGGGCATGATGATCAATAGTAGCATGATCATGGTGGATGGTGATGAAATTCAATTTCTTCCATTTTACCAAGGAATAATAAATTCATTAATTTGTAAAATTCAATGGAATTTGAAAGATTACATTCATTTCAAGAAATAAACCAAACAAAAGAATTAAAATTTGATTAAAAGAATTTATCATTCCAATTCAATTAAATTCTTTCAAATTCTACAAACCAAACAAGACTTTAATCTTAGGGGCGGTTTGGCAGTTGCTGAATGATTTAGTGCACAATAGTTAAGAGGTCAGAATGGTTAAGAGGGTCAGAATGGTTAAGTGCTGAATGAAATAATGTTGTTTGGTAACTGTTCTCTGAATGACAATAAATTACCATTTTAACCCTCATCTAACAAAAACCCATTATTCGAATTTGATTCAACAAAAACACGTATTTCATATTAATCCAAACAAATACTAGTTCAAAACAAGATTTTTCATAATCCAAACCAACATAATTGAGGGGATTAAAGGGAAAGGCATTATGTTTTGGGAGTCCCCTGCCTCTCGAAAGCCTGTTGAGATTGTAATCATTCAACAAATTCAAGTAATCCAACAGATTGACCATTAGTGTATATCAAATGGTATATGTGCAGTTAGATTTAGGGAGAACGACGACTTGATTCGAAGAGCTGTGAAGATTTGGAATGCGTGCAGGCGATATTAGTGAAAATCGGCGATGGAGACGATGGAGGTCACCGGCGAAAACCGGCCGACCTGGGGAAGGGGACGAAAGCGACGGGTTCAAGACGGAGACGACAGACGATCGGCGGGTGGGGGTGACTGTGGAAGGCGACGATGAGCGACGGCTGGAAAAGGGGATGGCTGTGGAAGGCGACTATGAGCGATGGTGAAGGTGAAGATACAGAGAACAGAGATGGCTGTGGAAGGCGACGATGAGCGATGGTGAAGGTGAAGGTCAACAGGTGACCAGCGATGGCGACCGGCGAAGCTCAACAGGTGACCGGCATAAACGACCGGCGATGGCTGTTGAAGGCGACGAGGGCTCATGAAGCGACACAAAATGGCTGGAAGAGAAGGGGTGTGGAAGGGTAAAGATGGAAGAAATGCAAACTGAATGATTGAGTGAGGCTCCATACACAAAATGGTTAAGAGGTAAATGTAACCATTAAGAGAGTTATTTTTTTTTGCCAAACAGCCCTTACCTCTTAATCGGTAAGAGGTTTCCTCTTAATGTCACCATTAAGAGGCAACCAAACAGCCCCTAAAAAATATCCCTCCAGTAACGATAAGGGCTTATCTTCTTGTAGGAGAAAGAAGGGTCCCTAAAGATTCTATCACACACCACTGGTTCTACTTCTAGTTGCAGACCCCAAAGATTCTATCCCTTTTTCATACCCATCAAAATCTTGAAATTATCCACATAATTAAACCCTAAAATCCTTCAAAATATGACCAGTTCTTTGTGTTTTGCTCCTCTTTCTTCCTTCAAGCCCCCAAGCAAGCCAGGTATTCTTCATTCTCTCCTCCCTCCATGTTCATGTTCATCTTCGATGAGTGTTTGTAGTTTTTGTGCTGATGAATTTATCGTAAATTATCAGGATTAATTAGCGGAAACCCTAATTCTCCAAAGGTTATTTGGGTGACGAATCAAAATTTGAAATTTGAAAGATTTCAAGGTTTGGAAGCTAAGGTGAGGCTTCTTTTGAATCAAATCATGCTGACATTTCTCTTAATTCTTTTCAGTACTAAATTATATGTGTTTATCCATTGTTCCCAATGAACTGAAATATTGTTTGATCACCATAGTTTTTATATGACCCATTTTGCCCCTAGTCCTAGCCATATTAACCCATTTCAAACAGAAAGAAAATTGAATGTTATGACCCTCTGATCCTTGCTAATATAACTCTTTAACTTGATTCTTGTCTTGAAATTTTGGTGGGCAAAATGTGGTGTGAAATTGGACTATAATGGTCAATAAGAATTTCTTGTTTTGTCATAAGGGTATTTTAGGTATTTAATTAATCATCAGCATGAACCTAGAGAACTGATAGGAGTTGGAAAAAATCATTATGTTCATTAGGAACTAAATTGATTGTTTGTTGATTAATACTCCCTTACATCAGAATGTACTAGGCATTTGACCATTTGGTGGTCAAATAATTTGATTTCTTTTCAAAATTGAATGAATAATTAGTCTGATTAAAGCAGAAAAAACTGATCATTGCATTAAGGTATATGAAAAGTGTCTGAATAGAATCATTTTGGAGGTAAGAAACTAACAACATCTTTGTCAATTTTGAATATGGAAGCCACTAGGTTTGACCTTTCAAAGTCAAAAGGAATAGCAATTAGCAAATAACAATAGGGAAATGCTTAAATTGTCTGAAAATAACAGGCAATTGTAAGGTCTTATTCTAACACAATCCAGTATCATAAATTGTAAGATGAACTTTTTAAAGATTTCTTGGAACTTGAAGACATATAGCACAAGGAGTTGCCAAATGGTTTCATCATCTTTGCAGATTTCCTTTGACTGATTCATAATGTGGTCTGGTGTAGTCCTTTAACAACAAAAAGGGGTTCTGAATCAATTAATAAGTTTAAAGCTTCATCCTACATTTTCGAGTTATTCGGTTGAGCTTACTTTGGTCTTTAGAACAGATTCTCCTCATGGTTTTGCAGGCTACTGATGGCACAAAAAGCGGCACCAAGATAAATAGCATAGTGTGTGCCGATTGTGATGGAAATGGTAAGCTTATGATCGGAAATTTTTTCCATTTCAGAAAGGAGATTCGGTTTGACTTTTGAGATTTAGTCAAACCAAATCTTTCTTCTGATGTAAGAAACAAGTTACGTGAGGAATTATGAGGATTCTTTCAATTCGTTTTTTTGGGTTAACTTTCAAGATTCAAGATTTACCCTTCATTTGCAAAATCAGGTGCTATACAATGTACACATTGCAAAGGGAATGGAGTCAACTCTCAAGATCACTTCAATGGACAATTTAAGGCTGGTGGTTTGTGTTGGCTCTGCAGGTATGATTGCTTCAAACTATAGTAAATATTTTCCCTGAGCAGAAACAACCAAATCTAGAGCATTTGCTCCATATCAACAAGATTCCATGCTTGTGGAGTTGTACCGTGCTTTGGATTAAACCATTACTGCTCCGGAACAGAAAAACCTATCCCAGTTCATCAGATTTCATATTCTTGTAGATTATGTAACTGGGTTCTAGAAAATCCATCATTGTTCTCAACTTAATTCCCAAAAGCTGATCTTTTAATTTGCCAATTATGCAGGGGTAAGAAGGAGATCCTTTGTGGTGGCTGCAATGGAGCCGGTTTTAGGGGCGGGTTCATGAGCTCCTTCGAAGAGTAAATAGTGTGTCTCCTTATCCTCGTTATAGAGTTTCAAGAAACAAAATCTTTTGTTGTTTTAATCATTTGAATCGTCCACAATGTACTCATTAAAACAGTTTTGTTCCATATGAATGCTTTTGGTTTCTTGATTTTGACGGTTTCAGCCAAAGAAACCATATTCTGCTGAAACTTTGTGTTTCTAGTCATTGGGTTCTTCTGGTATTACAAGTTAAAAACGTACAGATTCTTGAGTTTTTCAAAGCTTTGATACAAGAAAATAAAGATTATGCACAAAGAAACATTCAAGTAGCGTTCTTTTTACAAGAGGAATTGAAGATCATCAAAAGCAGCAGTTTTTAAGGCTTCTCTCATAATCATGTCAACATCAAATGAAGGATATCGCCATTGAATTTGAACGATTTCTCAGTTTCTTCAAGACAATGGTCCTTGTCGTCTCTGGTCCAGTTCTGATTAACGCATAAAAAGCGTATTAGCTCACAGTAGAAACACATTTTTGACTTTGGAGGTCAAACTTGGTACGTTTGGGTTTCGAAATCGACATCAAATCTTTAATGAATTTAGCATCTATCGTTTTCAGTTTGAAATAATTTGTATAACTTTCATTAGCTGATCTCAAAGTCGAACAAAAATGTGTAGCGTTTGATGTGAATTTGTAAGTTGAAAACCATTCATTTTGACTTGGAAATTACCTCAGCAACTCTATTCAACTTTTCCCTAACATTCTGCAGGAGTTGGGAAAGATCACCATCCCATTTGTAGAACTCCAGTTCTTTGTTATTCAAGATCTTTGCTGCAACCTGCATTCAAATGTGAACAACAATGGTTAAATGTTGAACAAAATTCCCTTTGATTTTGAACCTATTTAGCTGATATCTTACCTTTTTTCCAATCATCCGACCACCTGCAGTGTGTGCAAAGTAGGTATTATAGAAGTGGCAGATGAACGATTGCGGGTCTTCCTTTGACAATTCTTCGATATAAAGAGAGTAGTCGACCCCAGGTGTTGATGGTTCAGGAACAGAATGACCTTGCTCTTTGAACCATTCTAAATCTTTTGCCAAATTTTCAGCCCTTTCCAACCCTGTGTTCCTAAACTCGGCATCTGCACCACAAAATTTGTCGAACAACATGAACACATAAGAGAGATCGAGATCCCTAGGGGTTCATTTTGTACACAGACAAAACTAGAGAGATTTGGACGGCGAGAAGGTTTTAGAGTTTTAAGTTGACACGAAATTTACTAAACTTGTCAATCTCTCTGATTTTGATTCGAAGTTCGATCAGGTCCCATTGGCCTATGAAAAGCACATGATAGATGTATGACAGAAGCATGTAAAGATCCTTAAAACTTGTTTAAATAGGGTTCTATTTCTAACCCAAATTAGTGTTTATAAATGATCAAAACCACATGAATTATCAAGTGAGAAGTCAATTTTGTTTATGGAGAAGATGCAGAAAAACTCACATTCAGGGAAATCAGCCTTATGAAGAATGATATCAATGGTATCATAAACCATCTTACTATCCACCAAGAACTTCAAATACCCATCAATGGTGGGTTCCCATTTTCGCCAAGGTTTTCCTTGACTTTGTTTTTCTCCTTCCCTTGCTTGATCTCTGGTATGCAATTTCATAGCCACTGATCTCATCTCATCCACAAACCCACCAGAACCAGACCTCCTTCCCTCCGCCATTTTCTTGATCTTTGAACACAGAAACCTTTCAATCTTTCAGATTGGGGGTTGGAAGGAGTTCCTTAAAACGAATTTGTAGCAGGCTAAGAAATAGGATGTGTTGATTAAAGCAAACGATTGAGTGCAAAATTGGATTATTCATAAATGACGACACACCTATCGTCTATTGTTTAAATACAATATTAAAACCAGGGGTTGGTTTGGACTTATTGGTTTCTTGAAGATGAGATTGAGTTGCCATGTAATAAACGCTTATCTGGTAAGTGTTTACCGGACAATTTTCCTCACTGGATAAACATGGCAAGAGCCGAAAATCTTACCCGATAAGACCGATGATAAAAATGGAGGGTCTTACCCGGTAAATGAGAGTGACGACTCTTATCCGGGTAAGCGCTTACCGGGTAATTGTTGCATAGGATACCGTTTTGATGTATTACAATCTTATCCAATAAAATAAATTATAGTGTTAACTTTTACTGATAAATGTTTATCGGGTAAGCATTTATGTAAAGTCCACATGAGAGAAGACTTCAGAAATAGTATTGATAATAAAAATGAAACAAGAATCCATTGTTATCATCAACTGGGTTTATTTTAATCATATATTCAATTTTAAATCTTGCAAAAAAGAAATATAGTAATGAATAAAGAAAGACTGCAAGGGGAAGTTGGTGTTTCTGCATGGCTGGATATGCATAATGAATTGCTTCCTTTCTGGGTAATTACCTTTTTGAGTTTTGTGGTTAATGTGTTTTAAGAATGTAGAAAAACTAATTGTGTATCCGTGTAATACAGTGGGATGTTAAAATTTCAAATAAGCCTACAACTAAAAATAAGTGTAATTATTCATTAAAAAGTACAAAATATATATTTAAACATTCGATCTTACTGGGGAACGTTTAGAAATATTTAAACCTCGATTTCTTATAATTGAGTACTCGTGCGATGCAACAGGATGTAATCAAGTATAATGTAACAAATAAGGAATCAAGGTGAATTTTATTGTACACAGACATGAAAATCAATTGCGTTGTCCAAATAATTATAATGAAGGAAGAAACAAATATCTAGTGAATACATTTTTTAAAAATAAACAAATTATCTTATACAAACATAAATGGAAACCAATATCCACCTTTTTTGCAAAGGAGAGCTAAAATTAGCTAAAATAAAAGTTTGAATGAATAAAGAATGGTGTGAAGATACCAAAAAAAAAAGTTCTTAATAAGGAAGGAAAAAAGCTGGAAATAAATAAAGCAAAAGTAGTAAGTTTCTACTTGGATGTTGTTGGTGGTGTGCATCAACAATTGTACCTTATGCATGTGAAGTTGTAATTAAGAGATTTTTGAACTTTATGCATAAAAGGGTAGTACTTTGTGCTTGGCAGGTTGGCAGGTTGCATTTAAAATTTTTGGTCTAAATGCTTATTAATATAGATATAGATATTGATACGGCTTAATGGAGCAGCTGATTAAAGATATCTGTTGGGATGAAAAGCTACCGTAATTCTCAACTTTTAGAGAACACAAACTATGACATTATTTTGCATCCCTTCCTTCACCATTACACCTCCTTAAATAGTTTACGTACTTTCCTAAAGCTAAAAGATAAAGACTAATCAAATACCTTAAAAGGATAAACCTAACGAAAGGATAAAGACTAAAGACTCGAGATATCGTTCCGCTGTTACCGCTGGATAATTACTTGACAGCCCGGTCCCACGAAACTGTCAAAATCTCCAACCGATCCCGGTTTTCAGTCTCATAACCAGTCCTTACCGATCCGACCATATTTAATTATTGGAAGTATGGGCCATTTCATGCCACATATCTTGATTTGGGTATTTGGATGTGAGTGTACATTGAAATACACATGTGAATAACCACCCATGTTCATGAGCTTCTCAAAAAAATAAAAATAAAAATCTCTAAAATAAATTATAATCAACTCCAACTGATTTTTTTATTTTAGAGATTTTATCATTTATATAATTTAAATATTCTATAATTTTATGATCTTAATATATATATATATATATATATATATATATTTTAAATATATATAAAAAAAATGATATTAATTCAACTCTCTCTCTTCTTTTTGGATTTTTAGAGAATTCTTTGTATTTAAAGTTTTCTTCATGATTCTCTATTTTTTAGAATGAGATAGGAAAGTTGTTGGAGTATTACAGAAAATAAAAAGTTTGATTTTATCTATTATAGAGAAGCTATTGGAGATGCCTTAAGTTAATGGACGTGTGATAAAAAAAATCATATGTACATTCGTATGTGAATATACATAATTAATTGAGTGTACAAATATGTTGTATATTCAGACCTTATTTTATACATTCACATGTGAATATTAACAGTCAGGGTCATCCCTCAAGAGGGTGAATTGGACGCACACCCAAACGTGTATTTATTAATTAAATTGGAAAATAAAATATGTAAAAACTAAAAAGCTAATTGGTCTTTCATTTTCATAGTATTGCTTATTGTCTCTTTTGCATTGAGTATTATGTATTTCTTGCATTGAGGTTGAGGTTGTGTATCCCACATTGATGGAGAGATGAAAGATCGACAATTGATGGTAGGTAAATAAAAGAAGGTTGATGTGTCTTTATTTTAACTCATGGGGTTGATTCTTTGGCTAATCCTATAAACTCATATCACTTATTCATGTTGGTTAACCCTCTAAACTCATGGGTTTGTTCATTTGACGGACCCTCTATTTGCAAAAAAATTGTCTATATAAAAAAATCAATATATATATATATATATATATATATATATATATCAATACAAAAAAAGCTATAAAATAATAAGATGACATTATTAAAACCAAATATTTTAAATTTCTTGCATTGTGGTTGAATTTTTTTTTATATAGACATTGATTAGAAATTGATACGTCAACGAGGAAAATGAGTATATAAGAGATATAAGAGAAATATGAGTTCCATTTGAAAATTAAAAGGTTCATTTGGCTATATAAGCCATATTTATCTTTAAATGTTTGGAGCAATTGTCTAAACTCACGTGGTTGGATCATTTTGACTGAACTTCTAAACATATGCGGTTGACTCATTTTGGCCAACCTTTTTTTTATGAAAAAATTAAACTATACTAAATATGAATTGAAGAGATAATTTTAATATGTTTTTGAAAGTAAGAAGTTGAACCGTTGATGCGGCATCCTAATAATTGAATATTCTTCAATCTTGAATTGTGATTGAGTTTTATATATCCCACACTGATTGAGAGTTGAAAGATTGACAAAAATGTTGGATATATAAAATGAGGTTGAGATGTCTTTGTGACAACTCATGAGGTTGGTTCCTCTTGATTGATTCTCTTAACACCCGTGGTTAGAGCATTTTGGCCGACCCTCCAAACACATGGGATTGAAAGAAGGTTTAATCAATATTAAAAATTAATTATATATATAATCTTTATTCTTTCTATATATAAAAGTAAGAAGCACAACCATCAATGTGACACCCTAAGATTGAATATTCTTTAATCTTGAATTGTGATTGAGTTTTTTCTATCTCATATTGATATGTAGATAAAAGATTAACACTGAATGATAGATATATAAAGGAAGATTGAGATGTCTATATGGCAATTCATATGGCTGACTACCTTGAATAATTCTCTAAACTCATGGTGCTTAACTTATTTGGCTGGCCTTCCTAACATAGGATTTTTGGTTATTCCTCTTTATACAAAAAAAATCTATATTAAAAGTTAAATTAAATTAATATATAATGCTATAAGATATTGATGTGACAAATTAGAATTTAATATTTTTAAATAATGAATTTTGGTTGAATTTGACTTGAATCTTAATCCATATTAATGAAAAAAGAAATTACTGAAAAACAGTTAAATATATGAAACGAGAAGGGATGCCTTGAAATATTGGAAGGGTTACAAATGCAGTATGAAAATTTAGTATTTTCAATTTTGAAGTATAGGGATATTGATGTGGTTCATAATTTTTTGTATATTACTTGACATGTGTTATGATCACCGTGCAACGTAGAGTGACGAGCCCTAGTTATATATAATAGGTACAATTTAGAAAATAAAAGAGGTACAATTTTTTTTAATATTTAATAAGACTCAAAAAGAATTTAGTATATTATATTAATGGTTCGTACATGTATTAATTAATTATATTGGAGAAGAAAATATGTAAAATATTAATTGGTCGTTTATTTTGTCGTATTTCTTACTATTTCTCTAACTTTTTTTTTATCTAAAAGTTTGTTTCAATCAAAAAAGTTTAAAACGGTGATTAAAAAACATAAAATGAGGTGAGATGAAAACGTAAATGATTTATATTGATTTACATAGTATTACTTCGAATAATAAATATTGTGACATTAAATAATGTCAATCTATATTTATACTATCTTATAAAGCATTTGACTAAAACTCTTAAAAAATCTTAAACTCGTTCATCCCTAAACGATTTCATCCTTATCCGATTTCATCCTTATCCGATTTCATCCTTATCCGATTTCATCCCATATCTGAATTCGTATAACTAACTGCAGATAATCACAATCAAATATAGGATAAACATCTCATTTTAAATATAAAAAATCTAAAATATAATTAGTATAATCATTAAATTCTAACAGAATACTTAATTATTAT